CGCCGCTTTTATTTACGCCAGCACAGCCGCCCTGGCAGATCCCTCGGCGAGCTCGCCAGCGTGCCAGGGCTTGCCGTGAGAGTGCCGTGAGCTCCTGACGGCGCTGGGGCGGGAGCGCAGCGCGCACGCGTGCCATGGGACCCCGGCTGCGGTGCGTGCCTGGGGCATGGTAGCACCATTGGAGTGCAATGGGGGAGCCCCCAGCCCCCCACGAGTCCCCGTCGCACCAAGTAGCTGGAGAAGCAGCCCCACTCCTCCTGTTTGCCAGGCACCCAGCAGGAGCCAGGCTGAGGCAAGGAGAATGGGGGTGCAGCAGGTCTGAGCCCCCCATCACCCAGCCTAGCTGGCAGGGAGGGCCGCAGGCAGCTGGCCAGCCGGGCCGCACAAGGCCGAGCTGGGAGCCGCCAGCCAAGGTCACTGAGACGGGCACGTGGGAGCGCCTACTGGAGCCGAAGGGACCTTGGGAATATTTTTCCCTTCCCTGTGAAAGGCTCATTTAAAAAAGAAAAGAAAGAAAAAAATAGGATGGGGACCACTTGCTGGGAGGTGAAGCCACCCTGGGTGGGGACACTGATGTGGCCAGTGTGTTTAAGGAAAAAACAAAAGTGGTGGCACGGTGGCTTGCAGCACCATCCCCAAACCCACCGCCGGTGCCAGGGACAAGGGCAGAGGTCCCTGCTCCTCCCCGGGGAGAGCTCCCTGCGCCCCACTGCCATTGCGGCCGAGCGCCCGCCCTACGGACACCAGCCGGGCACGTAACAGGATTAAATGTGGCCGGCTGAACAGCACCATGGATTACAGGCTGGGGTTTGGCAGGGTAATCCTGTCATCCCTGCCCTTCCCTGCAGCAAGCCCCAGGCTCCACTTCCCAACCCCGACGGCACGGCACTGCTTTGCCCGGGCCCCCACGGACACAGTCGGCAGCCAGCCTCCATCACCATCTCCGCCACCCACCGGCAACTCCTGCTGCCGGCTGTGCTGGGCACAGTGGAACACCTGGTTTTATCGATTTGTAATTTATCTTTGCGCACAGGGATGATCGCCAGGCAGGACCAGGAGAGGATGTTCCGTGGTCCCGGGGTGTGCCCTGCCCCAGCTCACTCCTCCCTCCTCTCCGATGGGGCTGGACCTTCAGCATCCCCAGGAGAACACCCCCCCAGGGTTTCAGGGCAGGGCGCTTCTCCAGGTCCAAAAGAAGAAGCACACAGGGACATTGTTTTTAAGGATGCGCCCATGCAGAGGGAGGCTCCCCTGCCTGGGTACCATCTCTAGGGACGCAGAGAGCCAGGACTGCACTATCAAGCATCCCAGCTGTGCCATCCCATTCTCTATCCGTTTCTCTCACCTTTTAGGAGCAGTAGGTGCTGACAGCCACATTCCCATGGTGATGGGCGGGCAAGTGACAGCCAGCGGCTTTTGATGCCAGCACCAGAGCCGGTGGCTGACGGGCAGGACGGCGCGTCCATCCTCGCACCACCCGCCACGAGACAGGGCAAACAGGAACGGGGCCCCATGCCCACATCACTGCCATTTCCAAGGGGCTTCATTAGTCCATCCTCTTCTAAGAGCTTTTAATTACGGTACTTAAGGACCAGGCTTTGGAGACAGAATCTCCACGCAGACACCGTCTGACTCTCCCCGGGGAGGGAGGCTGCCACGTCAGAGCACAAAGGCAACACCTGCCTGGGCAGGGGGCCAGCACCGGACCCCCGGAGCAGCCAGGTGTGAGCCAGCATCGGGGCAGGCAGCGTCCCGTCCCACGAACCTGCCGCCAAGGCAGGAATCCTGCTCTGCCGGTTCGCTGTTGGAGCAAACCCTCTGCAGGGAGGATGCCGAGGGGTTTGGGGCGATGCTGGGGGCCAGGGATGCTCCTGCTCCTTTCCCCGCGCGAGTGGGTGCCGGCTGCATGCTGCCCAGCAAACCCCTGCACATCCCCGGCAGCGGTGGGACAGCCAACAGCTCACCCCAGAGAAGGAAGCAGGTTTAGGTTCAAGAGCACAAACCAAGTTCTCAAAATCAATAGCTTTTCTAAAACAAAAAGGGAAACACGATGATAAAGTAGAAAAAAAAACAACACAAGAGCTGGCAAGGTGAAGCCAGAGTCAAACTTCCTTTTAACCTGATTTTTAGAAGCTGCTCAGGTGCCTTTTAAAACCACAGTGGTTATTTAAAAGGCACCAGCTGGAAATGTCAGCCCGAGTCCCACACGCAGACCTCAGGCCTCCAGAAACACTGTACGGCACCGGCGGGCTCCCATTGCACAGACGGGTGCTCAACCACAGCCTCACATCAAGGACCAGAGGAGAAAGAGCCCCAGAAAATGCTGTTTTCTGGTGGGTTTCTGAGCAAAGCCCTGGCCCAGGCTCTGCTGAAGAGGAGGCTCGGTGAGGAGGCTTAGCCACAGCGCTCTTAATCCGGCTGCCCTGACAAACACAATCAGCATCTGAGTGGCTTCCCCGGCACAGCGGGGAGCCCGGGGCACCCTGCGGGGCCGGATCCGACCCTGGGGCAGGCAGGGAGTGCAACCGGTGGCCAGGGAAGCCCTTTACTATCAGCACTTCAAACCTAAGACAGCTTCAGGAGGAAGGGGGAAACAGTTGAAAAGTTTTTTTAAGTCCACCCCCCGGTGCAGTTTGGGGGCTGCGGTTTCCCCCTGGCCAGAGTTATTGGCCATAAGTGTTCTGCGGGGAACCACTGCACCCCAGAAAGCCAGAGGGGCACCAGAGGGGACAAGAGGGGATGAAACCGTCTCCGTCAGAAGCTTGCAGTGCTCTTCCTTTAACCTCCGGTGGGATTTTGCAGGGATGTAATGGGAGGATTAAATATAAGCAAGGAAGTGCAAGCAGATCCGGAGGAGAGGGAAGGGTCAGCGGTCCAAGCAGACAACCGCAGCAGCATTTGATTTATCGGGGCGTACAATAGGTCCGGCCACAGGTGCAAGCAGTGAAGATCAGGCAGTTCACAAGTCCCGGCTGTCGAATAAATCAACTATCCCAACCCCACAGCCCAGGAATGGGAGGTGAGCTCAAAACCATGGGTATGACACGGCAAGAAACTGCTCATGCCTCTCCCTCGCACCGCTTTGGAAAGGGCTGCAAGGGAGGGAGCAAGCATCCACTTTCATGGAGAAAAGACCCCAAGAACTTGCATGCACAAGGACCCCGACCCCTGACTCTAGTAGCTCACAGACCCGCAACGTTCAGCCCACAGAGATGGGGCCACATCCTAAACACTGCAGCCAGATGGGTCATCCCGCTCCTCTCCTGCCGGCACCCTTTGGGTGGGCACCCCTGCTCCTCACTCCCCATCGCCGCAGGGAGAGCCCCACCACGCCAGTAATCACCTTGTCACCGCCACGCCGGCTCCACTTCTCCACGTAAGCCAGCCCTGGGGGTTAAGCCTGGATGGAGGAGGATTTAGAGGCAGGATGCTAAATTGCATCGCCCAGCTCAGCGATCTGCAATCGCTTCTGCTCGTTCCAATGCTTCCCTTCCCGTATCCGACCACTGCACGGGATGCGACCAGCTCGGCCCCACTGACGCATCTGCTTCGTCTCCCACTTGGACATTGGATGGCAAAAGGCTACTGGAAGGTCTAAATTTGGCCAGGCTGGGATCTAGGCCCCCAGCAGGGTGACAGCGCTCAGCCCACCATGCCTGCAGTCTCTCCCATGCCTCATGCATCCTCAGCAACCACTAACTGGTGCCCTGCAGCCCCAGAAATCACGGACTACCTGTAAAAGATGCCCAAAAGGCAGCCAAATTATTATTAATAGGTTTAAGTTCCCTCTAGAGGGAATCCCCTTCACTCCACTGGTAATATTTAGAGGGCTGCAGATCTAAAACCACTGAGCTAAGCACGTCCTTAGAGAGGAGATTAATGCCACCATATTATTCAAGAGACAACTGCGAGCTTAGGACAGGGGAGCTTGCTTTGAAAATGAAAAAGTAACTCGTGTGAAAACCCTGCCTTTAAACACCTACCTCTGCATTGCTGCCTTTATCAACTCTGAATGGCAGCGATCCCAACTGCAACTGGAAATATCTGCAAAGAGCTGGGCGTACTGGCATGGGGGAAGAGTCATCACAAGGTGCAAAGGACCACGGCCTGTCCCTGTCCCTGTCCCCATCACCTCCCTCCCCAGCCAGGGCCGGATCCACTGGCCAAGAGAAGGCACCATCAGAAGGAGATGAACTCCTTTGCTTCGGTGCACGGTGGTGTGACGATGCACACCGGTATCAAAGCACGGGAGGCACCGGGTTGCAGCTCCCTGTGCGTCCCACCTCCAAGGTGCTCCTCGAGCAGGGACCGAAGCCCTGCGCCAGAGGGGACAAAGCCGCAACCCGGCACAAAAGCTTCAACTGCTGCAAAACTGGGCATTTTCCTGGCGATTCCCACTTACTCACAGCCCGGGCGAGCCTTTAGGATGGGCTCAAAGAGACACAGAGGGAAGGATGAGCTGTATGGACGTCCAGCTGCCTCCTGCCAGGCTGCAAACCCAGGGTGTCCAGGCAGGGGAGAGGGATGCGGAGCAGAC